GAGGAGGAGGAGGAGGAGGAGGAGAAGCTGTCAGGATGGTTCGATGCGGCTGCGGAGCCAATGGGAGGAGGGAGCCGAGGATTGGGCTGGCACAGCAGGGCTGGGGGGGCTCTCTTAGCAACAGCACCGAGCGGCTCTGCCCCCTCCCAGCCTGCAGCCAGCCTGGAAAGTTCCTGATGATGGCCCTTAATGGATTTGTCTCGCTCGTGCCAAGTTCCTACGTGATCCGGGTGACTTTGCTGCCTCATCCCTCCTCCCTGAGGCCCTCTGGAAAGGCTGGAAGGGAACCTTTCCTTTATCTCCCTGCTAAAACCAACAAGTGAGCTCCAGGTAAAGAGATCAGCTGCTGGATTCGCTGCTGTGAGAGCCCTGAGAACAAAAGGGAGTTTCGTATTCTCTATTTGTGCTTGGTGTTTTCCTCTTGACACCTTCCCAGGGCTGTCTGGTGCCACTTTTGTGCCAGCCTCTTGTGCCAGGGCGAGCTGGACGCCTGGGCTGTGCTCCCACCTCTGCCACAGAGTCCTTGCATGAAGCCAGGTGAATCCCTGCCCTTCACAATCCGGCTCACTTTGGTCATTCCCAGTTAAACCCTCCCTGTGACCTGTGGGTGACAAAAACCCGTCCCTGAGAAAAGCCCGTCCTGCCTTGTCCCTTACTGCAGGAATTGCTCTTTGTGCCTCTCTGCCTCTCCCCTGCTCAATCCACCACTGCTTTAACCAGCTAAAAAAAAAAATGAAAATAACAGCTGAATTTGTCCAAACCTCCAGAACATTTCTTAGAGACGAGCACTGGCGCTTCCAGCAGGGTGACCTTGGCTGTCCTCCCCTCACCTGCTCCTCCTCCTGCTGCTCAGCCTGGCCACGTTTCTGGCAGGGTCTGCAGGCTGGTGGCGTTGGGGAGCCCTGCATCTGTGCAGAGGGCATGCACAGATAAATTATAATTTCATAATTTAAATTTATAATTTATATTATAAATAACAGCAGCACCAGTGGGACTGATGGGAACCCACCTTCAGAGGGTCTCAGGTTTTGAGTTGTTGGAATGGCTCCTGAGGTATTAAAAAGTTTTTTTTCTCCAGCCTCATGCTCAAAGAAGTTGGGATTCCTCAGTTCTGGTTTTCAAGGTTATTTTCTCTTATCTATGACATTCTTTCTCTGACCTGCTGAGGTCTGTCTGGCAGGTCGGGTTGAGGCACACTGGTGTTATCTTTTTATACTAAAAACTACGTGTTCATTATTTACCATAACTTCCCAACACCTGTCATCTATGTTAGACAGTGAGCTTCTACTCTAAACCAATCCAAAGGTGCCAACATCACAGCAGAAGATGGAGGCCAAGAAAAAGAAAAAGGAGGACAGGACTTGCTCAGATTCCTCCATCTTGCCTCTTGAACCCCCATTCTAAAAACCCCAAAATTCTACATTTTCACCCTGTGATAAATTCACTAACATTCTACTCAGACTCTCGTGGCTCACACAAAGTTGGGAATTGTTTCCATGGGTTAAAATCCAAGGCTCAGGTGGTTTTCCCTCCATGCCAAGGTCTCGAACCCCCTGCCAGGGTCTGGAGCCCTCCAGGGCAGCCAGAGCAATGTCCTGGTTCCAACAGGAGGGTGGCCCGTGGTGTCTGGGTCAGGGAGCCTTCACTGCGCTGTCAGGGAATTCAGTCAGCTGTCATCGCCTCTTAATTAAAAATAGCTGAGACTCTCTTGCATTCCTGTGCTGAGGGCTGGCTCGTTTGTCATCTTGTCCTCTGCTCTGCAGCAAAGCCCCTGAACACCTTCAGGAGCAGGGGGAGATTCCTGTGGCAGGTAAAGCAGAAAATCCAGGGCAAACGCTGCTCCTTGGGTCAGGAGCTGAGCAGGGAACAAGGACACAGAATAACATGTATTTATGTTAAATTAATTTATATGCATTTTATTTATAAGGTATTTATTTTAAATTTATTTCCATTTATAAGCCCATTTTATATTTATTTATATTTAAATATTAAAATTAATATATAAAATAAATAAATATAAAAATTTAAACCCATTATCTATATATATATACACATATATACATATATATATGTATATATATATGTGTATATATATATGTGTATACATATATATATCTATATACATATATATTTATTTACTTTTAAATATAAAAATTAATATATAAAATAAATAAATATAAACATTTAAACCCATTATATATATATACACATATATACATATATACGTATATATATACGTGTATATATATGTATATACATATATATGTATATATATATGTGTATATATGTATATGTATATATACATATATACATTATATATATATATACACACACACACATATATATATATATATATATATATATATAATTCCCCAGGAGTGTCAGGAATAAATCAAACTGTGCTGGGGCTACAGGAAACTTTCCTTGCAGACAAACCAACTTCCTTTTTTCCATCTTGAGTTTCCAGCATCTTCCTCTGGCCCAGTGCTCCCAAAAAACCAATTTTTCCAGTCTGATCCAGGCAGACCTTTCCCAGGTACATCAGTGACTGGACTCCTAATTCCATGCTAAATGGAATTTGGTGATTGCTATCACCTTCCAGTGGGTTTCACTGATTTATTT